TCGATAGAACAATGAGAAGACGGAGTTGATCTGAAAAATGTGATGTATTTGCGCTATACATTTCGAACAATCTGGTCACACATATACTTGTCAAGGCATTTTTATATGAAAATTAATAAAGGTCAAACAAATAAAAGTACAATTAAAATAACAAACATCATTTGTTTAGTCAAATGGCTGTAGCGAATCGGTACACTTGAATAAATGTAATAGTTGTTTTTCTAGGTGTCTCCTGAGCTCCCAATTTCGGGGAAAATTTGACCCATTTTGGAGAAGCCGCTATAGTGAGCTTTGGGGAAATTCCCCTTTGACCTTGGTCAAGGTCACTTGACTCTGGGGATTTCCTCGAAATTTACTCAGAATTCCCCAAAGTTCCCCAAACTTGGGAGCTCGGGCTGTATCTTAACTGTTATTTGTTTTTATCTCAAACTGATGGTCTGTGCTGTTGTCTATTTAAAAGTGTTTATTAGCTGCAATGTGTGGAATTTATTGTGCCACTCACAAACTTAGGTAACGTCAGATTACAAATTAGCTCCATTTCTACTATATGAAGATTTGTGTCTGTGTTATTTTAATTTCAGATACATATAAAACGACTTGTTTTTGTGTAATAAAACAAGAATAGATTCATCTGCATTTTGCGGTAGATTTGTAGTTGTATTAAGTTTGCATTCAGGATTCCAGTTAGGAATACGATAAAACAATCTCGTGATGCTCACAGATGCATTATATTTTAACATTCGTGGTGCTTTGATTACGCTTCGGTTTGTTATGTTACTGAAAGTGAGCAAAAGCAGATATGACACGTGAGATTCATTGAACGAAATGACAGTATAGAAAGCATGTGTTCTCAGTGTAAGTTAAAATGTACTCACATTTAGGTGATGGGAGAAAATTGTAAACCTCTGCCATTTCGAATTTGGCTTACTCATATCTTTTTCGTTTTCACTATTTTCATTATCCATGTAAGTCATTATGAGTATCAGTGATTTGTGTGAATTCCTATACTTAGATTAGCAAACTTGAGTCTTCATTCATTGATGAATCATCTGTTCCCACCACAATGTCTACCGTCCCCTCAGCGGTTGGTTCGGCTGTGATCTTGAGTCCAACACTATTATCAACTGGCCCCAGTGGTTTAACCAACATACCTTCACGATCCCTGGCTGGCAGACAGTATGCTGTAGTTAACGGCTCAAATGATATACAAAACAATAATGTTCATTCCGTATCGACTCCAGATATCAAAGTAGCAAATGCAGGAATGACTACCCTAGGTACCCCTGTGTCTTCTTCTTTAGGGACTACAATTATTTTGCCAATATCAACTCCTGTAAGTCTGAGCATGGATTTAAAGTGCTTCCATACCTCGAATGTCTTTTACTGTTGAGTGATTTATTTTTTTTTAAATAATTGATATTAGTTACACAGTACTTTTTCATAACTGTTTATCCGTAATAATTTGTTCATTTGTTTATCATTATTAACTTATTTGCCAGGTACAGGATTATGCACTCTGCTTTGAGTTATACTAAGTTTCATGGTTAATGATATTTTCCAGTCTCTCATGCCGAAATAGGTGGACGGATTCCTAAGCCTGCAACCTAATGACAGGAAACCGAACACCTTAAGCAATGAGCGACCATCCCACCGTGTATTTGTGTTGTACTAGTTACATGTGTATGAGATAATAGAATACCGCACTCTTTAAAACGAGATGTACATTACAAGCGTTATTCTGCATTTATCAAATAGTACCTAGATGATATTTAAGTAAGTAGTTTTTTAAACTATGCAGAATAGCTTGTTCAAAGTACTTATCACCCAGTGATTCTCGTTCCTCGTATGGGTATATGTGCAGTTAAGTAGCGTAATGTTGTACATAATTATCCATCAATATGTTCAGATTAGTTATAGCAAGCTTTGGAATCAGTAAGGATAGCCGTAGAATAAGCCACGAAACTTCACTATCAAGAATCACCTCAGGAAGATGGTATTTATCTCCTGCAATCACAGGACTGTGATTCTAAGTATATTTTGCATCAACGTAGCCTTACGAAAACTATAGCTCTCCCTTTTCAATCCGATTTCTCAGTTATTCTTTGCCCTCAACCATTTTCTTGAAAAAATGTTACCCTTAATTAAAATCACAGTTGTTTCACGTGTTATATTCTCAATACTCAACTGGCTATCCGTAATCTTCTCTTTGTACTAATTGCTTGTTGTTTAATTAGTATTTTCGCCAGTGATCACTTCGTTGTATATGTTCATGTTCATTCAATTTCCTAGTTGGCCTTCGTTAGTGGGCCTCAAACGTCAGTCTCGCTGGCCGACCAATCGACGGATTCAGTTTCTTGATTCTATGATAAGTTCCGTTGGACGCACACTTGTAGTTTCTCAATGTACGTGTTTATCTACTTGCTTCCTCTGTTTATCTTGTCAAATATATTTATACATACGAATGCTTAATCATTTGATTATTTTCTTGTATCATGTATTCTCACTTAGAAATTGACTTTTCCAACTGATAATCGTAATGCAAACAACAGATCTTAAGTTTGTTTTCCCTGTTCATAAACGCTATTAATCTTCATTTTTCTACTTTTCAATCTAATTTTAAGGTGGAAATAAGATCAATGAATCTACATTTTCTTTTCGTATATATATAATCCTATCTAGAATTGTATTGTCTTCAAGTTCCTGTTTACTACATATATTATTATCATAGTAAAATTGTATTTTTAATTGCATCTCCAGTTACCAATTTTGTTTTATGAACTGTTAATTCTATCACTGCTGTGAAAAGCTTTTATGCTTCCACATTCTGTTTGTAATTCATCCTCATGTTTCATATTCCACTCATCATTATCAAGCGATCATACTATTTTTCTCTCTATCGTTTAATAATACTTTCCTAAGAATAAACCAAGTTAAGATGTTTTTCATTTATGTATTAGAATTTCATTTTTCCATTACTGTTTATTTGTAATTTATACTAAACAATGATGTTTGTATACTCGCAGATTGATTCTGCTTGATTTTACTTCATACAAAAATTAACGATTCTGTTATACCATGTATTGCGCTTTTTCTACGTTTAACCCTCATTCTAGACAGAATCATAAGCTTAAGCTCCAACGCGTATGTGCTATGAAAGTTCCTCCTATAGTGGGAAAATCCAGCCTCCTTACCTTTTGAGATTCTTCGCAATTGTTTTGTTTGTAATCTCAGTCTTCTTCACAAGATGTAAACCGCTTAAATCATTCCCCTGATAATTTACATTATTGTTGGCTCAAAGCGTTTGACTCGGCCGGATGTGTAGAAAGTGGTGCATCTAATTTCACATCCTAGATAACTAAACATAATATCAATACTTCGATATCACTGTGACAATAATGCGATCTTGGTTACCTTTTGGATAACTAAGTAAAAGCGCCTTGTGAATGACCTAGATTTATCTTGATTAACGTATGAGTTTACCAGTTAAAGTACAATGAATCTAAGGTAATGTTCAGTTTAAAATAGTGTTCACTTTATATTACTTCACATCACGGACCAAAAAAATTAAGAATCGGGTTGTTGTAATCTACTTAAACCACTAATAAATATATTTATTCACAGTGCCGGATTAATGATCCAATCATATGAATAAACCGATATCGAAATCAAGACTGCTGGCCAGAAAAATAAGTTTTCCGTGTAAAAACAACATGGTTTTGTACGAAATCTCAATCATAAAGTAGATATGCTAAGATGTCTTAAACGATTGAAGGATGAAAATTTTGTGAGTAGTGAGTGCGCTATCCAATGAACTAAGGACCGACTGTTTTGTCTAATTTTCAACCATCATTTCACAACGTCACTGACACATTTAAACTTGTACGTTTGATATGAACACCATTCACAGGGTGATGTGAATACACTTATAATTGCGTACATACAGTTATCTTCAGTGGCATTTTTTCAGGAATCATGTATCCAAGCCGTTGAATAAACATTAATGCAACCCAATCACCCATAAGGTTTTCTGCTCAACATTGAGTGAAATATTTGTGTGAGTCATTTCAGTATTGCCCGAGCAAAGTTGGATTATGTGAGAACACCGCTTATGATACAACTCGTCGAAGTCACTATGCTATATCTTTAGATTATCACAAGGTGAATATTGTGGTTTATTCGATGTTTACATATCTATGGCAATGAGTCATCACTTTGTATTGTCTGTCTCAGATCCTCAAATGTGTGAAGTAAACAGCATTCAACAAACTCACTAGTTGTAGAGGAAAATTTTGAAGCATATAAGATGTGTTCCGATTCGTATTCAATATTCAAAATAAACGAGCTTGTTGGAGTGATTCCCTAGTAGGACTTTATGCTGTAAATAACCCGAAGTAGGATTTAGGAGAAGCTGAGTGTTAGTGAACAGTCATTTCTCTAAGTTGGATTAATATCAAATGGTGATATTTGAAATCTCATGCAGATAACACCAGTGGCCCTTGAACTCAGTTTCACTAGAAAGCCTTGACGTATTTCAACCACTTGGAGCTCCTTTTTCATCAAAGGAACTACTAGGTAAGTAAGCCAAATATTGTCCTTTGACTTAACAATATCATTAAGATAGAATAACAGAACCATTCAAAATTCCATACTGCGAAAATGGTTTCAGATTTAGGCTGGTTCCGGTCTTGACTTCGTCAATAAGTGACCGTAATCTCAAAGAGTATATTTAGCCAATGGCAGTTCTTTGTTATATCTGATTTGGATTTATAAAAAGGGCCAAAATTTCGATTGGTGAAACACATGCCTCGCTATCCTGGTCGGTATTTATTAGAAGCGCATTTTCAGTATAAGAAGTGGAAACAGTCTAACATCGGATAATAGAAATGAATACGACACTAACAAATAGTATCCACCTCATACTAAATCAATGTTCAACAATTTTTTAAAGATAACCATATGAAGATTTGGTTTGCACACTACGTGTATGAAGAAATAATGTTCTATTCAATTGTACCATATTTTTGATACATTGTTTGTGGATTTTCTATCTTCCTTATCTGGAAAGTTTGCTTGCCATCCTCACTGATCTCTTCGCTCAAATCAAATTCATCATTGTCATAACACTGTTGCTCCTTCGATTCTTTAACGAGCATGAAACCTCGACCACCTAATTTAGCGCTTATATTCACTCGTATGAAATAGATTATATAAAGTGTGGCCTATTAAATAAAAAAGAAAAAATCACATAATTAAATGAATTCATCTCTAACAACGTCATACAAGAAATCTACCGTACATAATACTAACTTCAAACTGATACACTTCAATAATGAAACTAAAATACATACCCAAGCCTAAATCATCTAAATATAACACTTAAAACATTTCGAAAGACCATGAGAGGGACTTATATGGCTCCCATTTTTTTGCAACTCCTTAATATTAACGTTTTTGTAACACCTTGATAAATCAAAATCGAAGTTAATTATCATGCTAATCTTCCACTTCCGTTCATAATAACAGCTAAATATTTTTGGTATTGATCAGGCGGCTATGATAATTAGAAGTATTTGGACTGATCTACTAACTAAAAATTTCCGAAATAGTGCAATTTAAGGCAGGTAGAACTAGATGGGCACAAATGGACGTATTACATTTGGTATTCGTCGTAAGCGCGCAACCATGTATGAAGGAGTCAAATACCACAGTGGTGTAGAAGTCCTTTATGGTTTACACTAAACAAGACCCTCGAAAATCCTTATCAAATATAATCCAAAATTTCATAGCCATTTCAAAAACATAAGTTGCGTAACACTTTTGACCTAATTTCAGAAGAACATTTATTTGTTTAAACAGCACCTTATCATACAACACTTAATATCAGAAAGTGAAAATTTCATCAAGAAATAATGAGAATTATTTAGACAGTATCCACATTCAAATTTATACCTCAAAATAAAACTGAAAAGTTACATTATTATTAGTTTGAGTGATTTGTCTTCAAGGTTTGGTCGACTGATCAGCACTGTTGTGATATTGAAGTTGCACAAACGTTTGCGTAATATTTTCGTAAACACAAGTGGATGATTTTATTTAAACTATATACAGGTAGTGAACAAACCAAGTAGTCATTCTGTTTTTATGATAGGGCTAACAAGAAAAGTAGATTAGTTTAAGCAATTTACAACTATTTATTCTAGTAAGTACTTCACAAATTTCTGATATTCATGCATAACCCCATTGACAAACAAAATTATATCATGTCAATAAAATTCTACTTCAAGTGTGATATAATAGCATTTATTGTCAAAATGTGACAATAAGTTATCATAGTCAACAAAAATAATCGAACACGTTTGACTTCCTCATAAAGTCTCTGAGAGCAAATTCGTCAAGCCTATTAACGAAACGAATCACTTAAATAACTAAGAATAGTAAACATTACTGATTGTTATGATCTCTAAGCTAAATCGACTGATCATAAAGCTATATGATCCATCAAACTGAACACGTTTTCAGATCTAACATTATTATAAAAATCAAACTCACATGACATAAAATAACAGACATCAGAGCACTAAAGCAGGCTAGTATTGTTGATTGTGGTTTACTCCAATCAATGGAAGGATAAATTTGTCCTTTATTATAAGGACCTGCACCACCGAGTAACCAAAACAAATATGTGAATAAACTATATATCACACCGAGTAGGCAAGGATAAATGACATGTATCATTCGCATCGGAATAGCACAAAGGCATGTGTCAATTACAACCAAGACTGAAGTCAATGAATGTTTAACTCGACTCTGCCAACTTGCGAATACATCTGTAAATCAAATATACAAAGTCAAAATGAAAATTCACCGCCAACCAGACTTATGTATGTTAGTGAAAATTTAGTTATTTCCCTGACCCGAAGAGACATTACGTTGCAAATTGACGAAATTACAGACAGCAAAGGAATCGGTTAATTTTATACTCGAATGATGTTATTAATTGTATCAGTTAAATTTCTGATGATTTCTATACAGGCTGATTTTCGCTCATATTGCAGGCAATCGAATAATAGAAATTATTGAGGATACTTGATCTAGGTTTACTTTAAACACACTGTCAGACTATCATGTCGACAGAACTCCAGTTAGCCTTCTGTTATATTCCGACGAGAGTTACGAACGGTAACTCTTGAGAACCATTGATGGACGAATACGATACACATATATTTACTGTATAAATGCTTTATTGCTTTATTTCGACCCATAGACTATTATTATAGGATTAACTGTTCTTGAGTTATGCCCGATCTATTAATTACAGTCTCCTACATTCACGACCACTTTGGGCTAGATCTTGTACGAATGTTGTTTTCTATTTTATGGTACGCTGTTATCTGTTTGGTTTGTATATAAACCCAGTATGTTTGAAATACATGATTCATATCGCGCAGGCTGAGATTTGTGTTCTTGACTTAACAGGCACAGCTAGGCAGGAAGAAGGACCGATAAAGACTCTAGACGGTTTTATGTGTCATTGGTTTGGTCGATAATTCTCTGTTCTCTAATTGGCCGCACCATTACACTATATATTAATAGAACACAATGCCACGAGCTATAACACCTTGTTTCAAATTAGGCAGTTTTATAATGTCACACACGAATTTGTGGGTTCTCATCTTTTTCACTTACCTGTTTCACACCTTTCTGTATCTAAGAATATCTGAAAACATCCGCAACTATGGGTTGTACAAATCCTTATCAGTATGATTATGTGTCAACTCAACAATAACAGAACTAAGTCATTCAAACTTATTATTAACCCTAATTATTGCGTTCCTATGAGGCGACGGTTATCAAGAGACCAGAAATGAATCTATGGCTTGATGAACAACCAGTTGTTAGTCTACAGACATTTCGATATCATTTCGTCTTCTTGATGATACAATAGCACAACTTCACGCCTCCCTATGCCCTATGATCTGACTACTTAAAATTCTTATAAGATTCCCATTCTTCCCATCATTTAAGATTTTGTAATTCTGTTACTTTCTTAACAATGCATACATAACACGTAGTCACAGTTCCGTAACTTCAAAGGATTCTTGTCTCTACCTTCTGTCCAACCATCTTGTTTTCTGAAATGTTCATCTAATAAATCTACATAAAATAACCGTGGAATTATATTTTAACAAATAAGGTCATTTCGAATAGAAGTGAGTAAATTAAAGCCCAGTGACGTTTATCATAAAACGGAATATCATTAGTCATGAATCAGTTTATCATGCTCATTTTCAAGTTAAAATCAATGTCCTCATTAACTTCCCTCGTTGTGACCTGTCCGGATATTGAAGCAAAGCAATCCTGAAGCAATGTATCAGATTTAGTGGGAGAGAAATTCAATTCAGTGATTGCTTTATGATTACATAAGGCCATCATAGACTATCCGTTTTTTTAGCGTCTTCACCAAGCAAAATATAACATTAGCCAGTACTCAGTGAACAAAAATTAGATAAAATAAATTAATGAAGCATGCTAAATAGGTTGAAGAAAGTGGATGAAACATTGAAGGTCACGTCATTTATCTCACAAAAATCATCTAAAATACTTGGTTTTCCTGTTAACATATTGATAATGACCCTTCAAGTTCGAGAATTATCGGGAATATAAAAGTATTTGCGGTTGATAACAGTGAGGTTCATGATGAATGCTATAGAAGACAAAATTTCAGGTGAGTTTTACAAATCTAGAGAACCTTCATCCGAATAGTCACTTAACTTTACTTAATTTATTAAACTGATGAAGACAGTCGTTATTCTATACAAACTAAGGGATTTATATAAACAATTCCTAAAATTTGTGCGGTATAACAATACGTATATGTTTTAGCAAATTTCTATAAATATCAAAATCAGTAGATTTTGAACCAGGAAGAATATTTAGTATCCCCGACATAAAAAGATAGAAAATTACACCTATTTGAATTTTCAGTCAGCCAAATAATAGGTTCTGAGACCTGTGATTATGTTATTTATTTAACCTATTACTACAGTTTTATTTTCACCCTTAGTGTTTAATAGATGTACTTTGTTCATGATATTTAAACTCGAATCATAGTGAAATAAACTTTCAATTAAGTTAACCGTCAGTTTTAATCAGTATATCACTACATTCCCCTCGTTATTTAGAAAGTTGCAATTCTCAAAGTAACATTCAGTTTTTACAAATATTCATACACATAGAAGAAAGATTTAAGGTTGTTTTCATTGAAGAGTAAGTAACTAAAAAGCCATTCAAAAATACAAGGTACAAACGGTTTCGACGTTCTAATTCCACATCATTCGTTAGTGTTCAGTCACCCAAAAGTTGTTAAAAAAAAACTGATCCTCAACACTTGTTTAGTTAATGTCAGTTCTTTATCGGAACTAAATTCATCTTTTACAAGGTCTGGACTAGATAAGTTTAATAAAAAAGTATTAATAAATAAATAGACTCGTTGAAACGTAGAATAATTATTATTTAGCTTACTCAATGGAATGGTCGACAATGAAAACCAAAATATGATAGAAACCACAAGTATACATGTTGATGATAAATTATACAGAAACCATATCGGTTGATAATATCTTGGTTCATTGTTAGAATCTATGTGTAACAGTAAAGCAGTGGAAATTAGTGAAAATTCAGTTTGTAGAATACATTAATTTTATAGTGTTTTACTCAAAAATACACCGATAACTAGAGTTGAGGTTAATGAAATATATTGTAATTAAGAAATACCACGATTTTCACTTTATTCCTCCTGGTCGATATTCACATATACCTATCGTATGTAAACTGTATTGACTGTATGCTTCACGAGAAAAGTGTTCTACCTAAAATCAACGTTCAAGGTTCATGTCATTGAGTGGTTGATTAAGAGGTAAATAATCCGCAGAAACTGTTCACCTTGACTCCAGTTTTCATCATGAACTAACATCTCAGAAGAACCATTGAAAACCGGAGAGTATTGAATAATTGTTGCATCTTAACATGAGATACATAGAAGGTATGCACCCACTACCACACCACGGTGTCGCACTGGTAGCTTCAGTCCTCACTGGAAGTTCGATTTCCCAAGACCAGTAAGTCAGAATTCAATGATTCTCTAATATCGCAATTTTACTGAAGTTGGACATTTGAGGCATGAGTAGTCCGAACAAGTTGTGTCTTCCAGAAAATCTTGAATTCGATTCTGTGAGGGATTTACGGAGTACAAATTGTTGAGTTGTCTCAAATAATGATATATTGGATACACAAAAATCCATTGGTTTTACTTATCCTTCGGCTAAATTCTGCTTTTACCACAGATGTTTGTGAAGATTATTCAACATTCTTGATATCCCAAAAAGACGCAAGTTAGAAATCTACTGAAAACCAAGAGCGATTGGACAGCTGATTAGTACAAGTTTCTGGACGTTCAATAATGCTCCTCCTCAAAATCGCCACGTGGGATCGAATCCATGGCCTTTGGTCAGGAGTTCGATGGCTTAATCTCTAGATCATTGAGGTGACGTCCAATGCTTTGATTGTCTAACGTTATCGGGCGACCGTCATCAATTGTATTCGGCGGTTGATGATTTCTGTTTGTTACAAAAACTTACCTAGGGCTCAATACTGTGTTTTTCACTGAGCAGATTATAACGGTCAATGTTCTCATTTACAGGTTATCTCTTACATATTCAAAACGATGACAGTTCAAAAACAACCGATAATTTTTGCATACACGTTATCTGAACAACTGATGTAGTTGATACGATTAATTTAATTTGTACAAATATCGAAGATGAGGTGAAGCTATTAAACAAACATTCATAGGAAATCGTTATTTTCTAAAAATCATGCATTGAAATGAAGATTACAGTATGATAAGACCAACTACACTTATGACACTCAAAACACTGTCAATATCACCCTGTCATTCAGATGTCAGTGAAATGGCCTTGTACTGAAACAAAGATCTCAGTCATTTCCAAGTAAAACGCATTATACAACGAAAGTGATTATTGCAGAAATAAATTGCATACTTCCCCAAAAGTCAAAACCTTGTGTAACATTTCATTGAGTTTATTAATTTACATGTGTATGGGTACATTGATTTGTAGAAGTAACAGTGACTTGCACGTGACATTGCCTGAAGATGTTGAAACAAACAAAATAAAATAGTCTGGCAAGAAAAGATGGCAATCGACTACTTATTTCAAATTCAGTGACTTGTTTAACACTGTGAGTTAATAATATTGATCCATGTTCCCAATATAAAGATTATTTATGACTATTATGTTCAAATTAGTGAAATGAATATAAATGTCATTTGAAAATCGAATAAAGCTTTTACTTCTCTTACACAAAATGAGGATATTTTATCTTGATATCCGATAACGATATTGATCTACTGGTAGTTATTAATATTTAAGTACTTTCGCTACCTTAAACCAGTTTCATTATCAATTCATGAAAATGTTTTTCAACTTTGATGATAGAAAAAGCTCACTAAACACTAATTACATAAACTTTTTTTAATTCACAACGTCTCCAATCCTTATAAGATATTTTCTCTTAGAAATCTTCTGTTTGTTTTCTGTTTTTGTTTTTTTGTTTGAAACTATTTGATTTAAGTTGCTATAACTTACATTGCTGATGGATGGAAGGTAGTTAAATTGCAACATTCATAAAAGTTGACTTTTATAAATATATGATTTAAATGTAATCTAATTGTATAAATAAAAGTACTTACATTTTATGTTGTAAATCAAGCAGTAGATAGCTAGTGATATATGAACTATGGTAAGTATCAGAAATGCCCAATTTGTACCATATGTGATCCAACTATATTCAGAATGATCTAAATGTCTCATTGTTTCTATAACAATATCGTATATAATCCATACTAACAAAAGAATTGCCAGAGATACACGATATATTGTGAAACATTTCGGTGTAAAACACATCCACTGGAAAAATTTTATGAATATAAATGTTGATATTATCAAGTGACTAGATGAGTTGGTAAAAAATTAAAAGTTCTCTGGTAAATTTGCTTGTGAATTTTGAAACGTTCGTTTATTTACTGGTACTTTATTGATATTTCATGTAATGCTCAATATAAACAGCATTTCAAATCAATTATATTTTCCACCTTTTAAATCACGAACAATCTTAGCTAGACCACCTTTAAATACCTGGAAGAACTAGACGGCCGTTTCGTCCTAGTACTCAGCAATTTGTTTCCATGATTCTTTATACAGGGATCAAACCCAGAACCTTCGGTTTAGCGTTCGAACGCCAAAAACTCTATACGACTAAGTTGGCATCCAACACTGCTAATGCTTAACTTTTCACTGTATAAAAAGTAGTCGCTCACTTACTTATACATGATGTTGAGAATTATCCAAAACAACATGAAATAGTGTGATGAGAATTTTATTGGAATGACAAAAAAATAATTTTCGCAAAACGCTACCAAGCATTTATGATGACAATATTTGTATTCACATCTACAAACGTAAAACCAAATGGAATCTTATTTATTGTAAAGTTACAACTAAATAAACGTTGCATATAGGAAGTTGAGCATCTTAAAAACTCTCAATAAAAGCATGTGTACTATGAAAACTAGAGGGTCTCAGCTTTTGAAAACGGTATGGTGCTCAGTAATATGTTTCAAGTTTCTTCAGAAATTTTCATAAAATCATGATCGCAAAAAATAATCATGATTGGGATTTTCTCACTAGATATTGGGGGTGTTATTTGGCTTTAAGAATTAGTTTAACTGAGTTCGTTAGAAAAATATATAAATAATCTTCTGATATGCCTTTACTGCATGTCATGTATCGTAAATTACTTAAAACAGTTTGCCTCCTTGTTAGATTTAGATGATGCAATCAAAAGACGAAATTTATCTGAACTACATAATATATTAGAGTACTATATTTTCATATGATCGCGCATTTACTTGACAAGGCATTTATATATGAAAAATAGCTCGTTGATTCTATAGTTCTACAAAACTGAAAGGCATATTAACTTCTCAAGATTTCAAAGCACAAAAGGAATTGGGAAATAATCCTGAGATTGTTCTTTCTAAACCTACTCAAGGGTCAAGGTTAATTATACTGAATAAACGTGATTATAAAAGTAAGATGTTATCCAATTTCAGTGGTAAAACTAAATTTATGTCTTATGTTGAATTGGAAAAAGTCTATAAATTCGAGAGAAAAATGAATTCAAACTTTATGAAACTACTATACGTGAATAGTATTAATAAAGGGGATCTAATCTCTCATATCCTATCGGCTTTAAATATTCCAATTTATATGAATTGTCTAAAATTGATAAAACTAACAATCCACTACATCCACGAGTTGATCTCGTTAAGTGGTTGACGAAATGACTAAACCCTATTGAAAGGCACTTATGTAAATAATCAATACAAAATTCTTTTAGTTGATCGATTAATTATGTGATTTGAAAATCAGGAAAAACATAACGTATCTGTTTGGAGAGAGTTCACTGTTCATTAAAGTACCATTGAAAAATCTCGTACTGCCCATATAAAAATATTTCCAAAACTTTTTTTACTTTTATTCAGAGATAAAGTCAAATTCATATTTGGCTAATTCAATGAAAACTACGTTTGTTGAAAAGCATGTTCAATATGATTTACCATATCTGTACAAATGATACTATCGAAGATGAGGTGAAGCTATTAAACAAACATTCACAGAAAATCATTATTTTCTAAAAATCATGCATTGAAATGAAGATTACAGTATGATAAGACCAACTACACTTATGACACTCAAAACACTGTTAATATCACCCTGTCATTCAGATGTCAGTGAAATGACCTTGTACTGAAACAAAGATCTCAGTCATTTCCAAGTAAAACGCATTATACAACGAAAGTGATTATTGCAGAAATAAATTGCATACTTCCCCAAAAGTCAAAACCTTGTGTAACATTTCATTGAGTTTATTAATTTACATGTGTATGGGTACATTGATTTGTAGAAGTAACAGTGACTTGCATGTGACATTGCCTGAAGATGTTGAAACAAACAAAATAAAATAGTCTGCCAAGAAAAGATAAATATCATCTATCTTACTCTACTGCCAGACACGTAACTGAAATAGTTCATAAGACTGATATAAATAGCCTTCTTGGTTTTTGAAAAACACTGTGTGGATACATATATTATTAGAAATAATGACTTGCACATTAGGTTATCTAAATATGGAATAAAAGGGATGTAGAAGTAAACAAAATCAAATATCCTAATACGCACAATGAAAGGAGTGAATAAACCTAACCTCGTTGTCAATATTATGGCTGAAATTTAATCAGCCTTGTTGTTTACACAAACGAGAAATGATCCGGATTCAGTAACTAAGTGGATAGTGCGATAGCATGTGAAGTAACATTCTCCCTCACTAAGAAGTAATAAATCAACCTTGTAATATCATGGTCTCAACTACAATCACGCAGTCACTGTACATCGTTCCTTATTGTCTATGTAACAAATATGACAGAAAGACGTATTCGAAATAGTAAGGTATCGCCTGATTAGCAAAAAGAAGCACAGCAGCTTTCAATCATATCCGTATCTAAAATCATACATTCACACAGTACACTCTCACTACATATAAGTGAGTAGCAATCTTATGCACCGAATTCGCGCTATCAAATACAGTTTACGCATTATTGTTAATTACATTAAATGCGTTTCATTCATTTTATACCAGAACAGTTAAAAATGTTGGCAATTTGTTAAGTGAAAAATGGATTTCAGGTAGAATTATCATATGTAGTTAGTGATATGATTCCTTGTAACGTTCCTTTAGTCTAAGTGCGATGCAGTGATATAGTATTCATTACCAAATGTCATGGTAGTGCATTTAGTACGAATACACATGTTTGAAAACGAAGTAGTTTCAATCGTCAACAACAGGAGACCGAGAGACCTGTGTTAATCCTGACAACAGAAGCAGACCTACTGATTCAAAAGTCCTTACGGTTTCCCCAATTGCAATTCACAATGCGAAACAACATACAATGATTTACATGCGTATAACAGAAATAGTCTTTTGAAAATCACATCTGAAGTGTCTTATTTGACAGTATAGCTACTTATTCTTGAATTTATCTCTCTCTTCTACCACTGCACATATCAACTATTTTTCAAGAATTGTTCAGCAATATTTTCATATTCATAAATCTTCCTTCACTGAAAATTTATAATTCGACTCTATTCAGTATTCGTCATACGGTTGTTATTCTGTTATTGTATGAGACCGCAATGTTGACAATGGGTCATGCATTAACGAACTCAACATTGTAGAGTGGTGCAATCATTGGCTACTACTCTTTGTTGCGTTGCACAACCCTATTGTACAACTCGATTCTAATCGACAGAGGTGGGTAGTATTGTTGTTGATTCTTAGTTATTTGACATTTGTAGTTAGTAACTATGATTCACTGAATGGTACGACATTGTATGACAGCATCTTTTGACTGTATGGTGACCGAGAGTCATGGAAATGATTTAGAAATCTGAAGAATAACCTGAAATCACAGTCAATAAATTTTCACATCGACAATAGATCGATCTGTTCACTTCCATTAAAGCGTCTATCATCTGACCTGGAACAAATGAATTGTAGGATTTTTCAACAATCAGTTTGTACTTGTTGATGTGTGAGCATGTAAACAAACAGATCTGATTATGTTCAACTCAATAATTGTTTAAGTAATCTATATGTGATATTTTGAACAATCATATTGTACTTGATTTTGTCTTTATTATAATATTTGGATAATGAATTGTTGCTTTAAACACAGGAAGATTGTATTAGAGATTAATGAGATGTGAAGAAACCCAAACAACAAAAATGAATAGTTTAAATATACTGATTAGTTCATTTGTTATGTTCTTTGTTTGATGAATGCAGATTAAAAATAATAAATATCATTCATTAACTCGAAATAATCACCTAAATTTTATGTCAGCAATATTGTTAGTCGTAAAGCCTATTTGTCAGTCTAAACTAATGATTACAACTAAACTAATGAAAATTATTAATACAGTTATCATGAGTGCTGTTAAAGGTATTAGGGCACTTATAATTTCACAGTCGCCCACACCGTTGAAGAGTTCTTTTAGAGTTACCTGGAAAGAAAATTGGTTTAGGGGTGGTCTTAGTAACCATAGAGTGTGACTGCAGTTTCCAAGGTACAACTGCTTGAGGTCGGTCACACACGACCTTTTTGTGAGTAATTTTCGTGTTAGCTCCGTACTTGTTGAGACCTTACCGCCGGAGACGGATATCCATGGGATAAGGCGAGGTGTGTATTTTTAGGGTCGACTATTTCTAACCCCACCCATCCTTGTGGGAAGGCAGCATCGCTGTTATACTGGTTGTCTGAAGGAAAAATCTTACTGCCGTTACACTTCTGTACAGTCAGCAGTACGACTTCACCCTCGAACCTTGGGTTTGTTGCTTTTAGTTTTACTGCTCTTCAACTGACCTGTCTGTCATGGTAGAACCTTGAGGAACGATCGTTCCAGCCAGTATAGCTCGATTGGTTCATTACGATAGGCAAGCTCGACCACCACGTCAAGGTAGCAGCAACGGTTGGGACTAAACTGATGGAAAGCGTTTCAAAGTGTGTTAATCAAAAGTCACCAAATGAGAAGGTTACGATATGTCTATCAAAATCGTAATGATAAGTCCATATTATTGACCAAGCATTGGTTTCATTTTCTAGGAAGTACACATGTATAAAAATAAATGAGTGCATATGGATTTTATTCATTTTAGGCCGACAAACGTCTTCCTTCACCCTTAGTCTTCTTACCTAGTAGCCCGTCAATGGTTTGCATATAAGAATCTTTGTGTATCGGTATCGGTTTCGTCACTGCACATCGTAACACTAAACATCTATGAAATATCTAAACTAATAATACACCAGCCGTCACACAAACATCTTTCAGCGTCGTACAAAATACTTTATTAATAAAACATATTATATAATATATTAAAATACTGCACGTACTTGAGATTTTACAAAATCTTGAGGTCTTGCATGATGAAATAATAATCCATTACATGATAATTCCACAGTTCTAAATTGTCGTAATTCTGGAAAATTTGAGGAATTCCATATGGTATATTTATTCTTTAAATATTGCATTTAAATTAGATTTTTTATTAAATAACAAAATATTTAATTATATCTCATATATGATTTTGAGTATCAAGACAAATATAGGGCATCATGCATATACAACAAAATGGTTGAACTAAATGTGGGTTACCCTCTACCGAAAATTAAACAATGATTCATAAATACATGTTTACTCAATAGAAATTTACGAACAGAAATATTCCTGCTGAGAACAATATAGCTTCCGTTTTACCTCTATACACGATTCATTGTATAGAAATCAACTTAAATGTTTAGAAATTTGGGATTGTAGCCAACGTATAATGATTGTTTAAAGTAAAGGAAAATGATTGGTGCATTTTATATGTTTGAGGCGAACACATAAATTCGTTTTATAACTAATCAATCAAGAAAACTTGAAAAACAAATTTACATACAGACTTTAGTGTCTGTCTATTTCTCATCTTTGCAGTCTTAGAGATTTTACTCAAAATATATTAATAGTAAGGAAAGAAAATGATACTGATAACTGTTTTTGAAACAACAGTTTTCATTTCATTTTCTCCATGTCTGTCCTTCGTTTAGATAGGGGTACGAGGAATATGAATCTTTGGACAATTTTTGAGTTGGAGTATTCCGTATTCCGTCACATTTACTCCTTCCATTATATTGTACACCTTTTTTAAAAAACCACTGATAATCAAATTAAACTATGTAGATTTATACACTGACATACAAACCGATCATCAAAGTCATTTGACAATATACGGTCAACACGGTAAAACTCATCAAATCAGCTATCATTCTTGAGAATTGTGACTGATATCTGCTCGACTTAAATAAACTGAACATATGTATTGTAACCGTTTAAATCAATTGAAACAAGTTTATTTCAAAAATCTAATTAGAATATAACATTTTGACACTTGATGTCTTCTAGAAGATTGGTGCCCAGTTCATGTCAAACACGTCGTTTAAATATTTATGAACATTCTTAGGAAGTATAGCATTCTGTTCTAAATATTTCTTTTGTCACTTTCAGAGAGAGGATTCATGATAATCTTAGAGCTGCATTCTTAATCTAGAGGATTTGAAATGCGATAAATATACATAGATGAATTAATGATTTTTCAGTCTAAGAAAATTTTCTGTGTATAATATTTTCCCCAGATGATGCATACCACATAATTCGTTTTCCTACGTTTCTACAACCAACGTAATCTAATTAGAAACCAGTCGTCTTTCTGATACATTCATGTATCGTCACCACTAACAGTACATGAATCTTAGAAATAACATTTATCCACGAGTTATATATCGATTTTTTAAAATAATCAACTCCCATTGTATATCATTAATAATAATTAATACTTTAAGTGAACAAAATAATCTTAAAATTCACTTCAATTTAGAATTTACTTTGTTGATAACCACCAGTATTTTAATCGAAATCTTTTGATTTAAAATGTCCATATTGAAGATAACAACACTATTCGACATGCTTCTTAAAGCTTATTTTACTTCTAATAAATTAACCAACTGGTTTGATAAGCAATGACGGATAATGGCTAGCAGTGGAATCCAGGACGCGCGTTTCGTCCTATTTGAGACGCGTCAGATGGACGTACCTGCACCTCAGAGTTGATTTTCACTCTGAGACTCGAACCCAGTACCATTCGCTTCAAACGCCATCGCGTTATCCCTTCAGCTACTGAGTCCTGATAGCCACTTGCTTGTGCAATTGGGTGAATTTAAATTCACTTGGTACTGTTTGGCTTGTATCTTCCCATTGAGGTTTAATACTGCAATTGAACTGAATTGATTCCTAACGAAAATACTCATGAAGTGACTAAATATTTTAAAAAGGAATCTGACTGCTAGTTATTATTTTCGTTTAATAAAGTGATTAGGTTATTTCATTACAGTAATATAGTCTCAATAATATATATTAGATTACATAATGAAAATCACCTCTCAAAAAAGAAATCATACCTGTATATTGTACCATTTTGATAATCCAAAATTCACTAAGTTACTATTTTCATTTGATGCATTGAACCTCTGTTACTATTGTCAAATTAATAATACTAGTGAAAACTAACTTGAAGTAATTAAATAGCCTTGACTAACTTACATTTATAAACATAAAACATCAATACAATAAAAACATGTATTAACTTAAAACGTAAAGGCATACAATCGGGCGTACGATTGCTTTAAACCAATTAAAGTTAATATAATCACATGTGTTTCATCAAAACAAAGGTTATTCACAGACTAATTTTCACGTTTTATAATAAAGACAAAATCAAGTACAATATGATTGTTCAAAATATCACATATAGATTACTTAAACAATTATTGAGTTGAACATAATCAGATCTGTTTGTTTACATGCTCACACATCAACAAGTACAAACTGATTGTTGAAAAATCCTACAATTCATTTGTTCCAGGTCAGATGATAGACGCTTTAATGGAAGTGAACAGATCGATCTATTGTCGATGTGAAAATTTATTGACTGTGATTTCAGGTTATTCTTCAGATTTCTAAATCATTTCCATGACTCTCGGTCACCATACAGTCAAAAGATGCTGTCATACAATGTCGTACCATTCAGTGAATCATAGTTACTAACTACAAATGTCAAATAACTAAGAATCAACAACAATACTACCCACCTCTGTCGATTAGAATCGAGTTGTACAATAGGGTTGTGCAACGCAACAAAGAGTAGTAGCCAATGATTGCACCACTCTACAATGTTGAGTTCGTTAATGCATGACCCATTGTCAACATTGCGGTCTCATACAATAACAGAATAACAACCGTATGACGAATACTGAATAGAGTCGAATTATAAATTTTCAGTGAAGGAAGATTTATGAATATGAAAATATTGCTGAACAATTCTTGAAAAATAGTTGATATGTGCAGTGGTAGAAGAGAGAGATAAATTCAAGAATAAGTAGCTATACTGTCAAATAAGACACTTCAGATGTGATTTTCAAAAGACTATTTCTGTTATACGCATGTAAATCATTGTATGTTGTTTCGCATTGTGAATTGCAATTGGGGAAACCGTAAGGACTTTTGAATCAGTAGGTCTGCTTCTGTTGTCAGGATTAACACAGGTCTCTCGGTCTCCTGTTGTTGACGATTGAAACTACTTCGTTTTCAAACATGTGTATTCGTACTAAATGCACTACCATGACATATGGTATTGAATACTGTATTAGTACAACGCATTTTGACTAAAGGAATGTTACACATAATATAACACTACTAGAGGTACAAGTTCGCGTTCAACAAGTTTAAAACTGATTACAGTCGAATATAAATATTTCAATATCATCATGATATTGACCAACTGTTCATTTATTCGCTAGAGCATAATTGCAAGTATTTATTAATATACTCTGGTGTCAGCATGTAAAAATTGAACCTGAAAAATCCGACAACTCATTTCTGTCAGGTCATGCGAGAGAAGTGTTGCCATAAAATCTAACACCGATTTAGGCATATATTAATTTGAACTTCAAGTTTTTTAGACTGATAGTTTGATTATGTATGCAACCCGACGCAGACAGTTTGAAATTAGAATAAATAATATTCACCTTTCATTAACGTTCACTAATTTTCACGAGATATTGCGTGTATGCGTTGATACATTCAGTAAAGTATCATTACTACACTTTTATGGGGATATTTTATAGGAAGTTCGTTCTTATTAAGAAGTTGTTTTTAATACATCATACTAGTATATATAGTCACATTGAACTTCGGTCTCCTGTTCTATTTTTGAATGGACAAGTCTTTTCTACACTCAGAGTATCTTAAATTAGTGTATTCTTCATCGCCTCATGAGCTAAACCAAAATCAAATCTATACACATATGGAGGTCACTAAGGTAGCTCAATGGTGCTCTAAATGATAGTTGGAACTTTGCACTTCAAAATGTGGATAGATTTGCTTTGATAATTATTTATTCAACTTAGATTTAATCATAAATAGTATGGTTCAATCTAAATTTCATACATTTGTGAACTTTGGACTAAGATATTTCCACAATTTGTCCTTCTCATGAAAGGTTTCCAAACAGAGATTTGTCTCAATAAATTATCATTTGTTTATTTTGTAATCTCTATAACAATGATTCACGTACTTTACTGTACAAAGGATGTATCCGACTACCCAGAGAATACTTCAGTTTTATCCTTAGTAGTACTCTCATCAAAGATAAATCAAGGTTGGAATCTCTTCAGAGACACCTCAAACTATTGATCCGGATGCTACAAGTTCGAATTCAAATCTTAAAAGAAGCAGAAACTTGGATTAAATACCATCTTCTTCTTCAAAATAATTTGTAAACTATATTTTACATACAACGATCCAATTAAATATGAAGTAACAACTAGTTGTAGTATCCATCACTTGTCATTAGAAAAGCGATCTCATTCTAGCTTTATCCCATACGAATTAATATACCTATACATTTTCGAGTGTGTAGTGATTTGCCTTAATCTGTCCATGGAATAAAATCACTTTAATTATTTGTTTGTCACTTCCCCTCTAATACTACCTTAAACGTGCTTACACGTCTAAATATGTCTCATTAACTAGCTAAATTATGGCAACGTTAAATGATTAATCATTGTTATTATTGGGGGTACTCAAGAAAGATTTCTCCATCCAGATATATTACAGTTACACCTTCCCTAATACATTTAACTACTTCAAATAACTTCTATCCCGAACAGAAGATTATAAAGCAATTTTACACTTAGATAACGCCAAACCTGTCACAGTAATTTTTGTCGCTTTTGTTCTGTGCTCTGCCTGATCATTTTTTATAGTTGTAAAAAACTACAAGTAGTCGATAATGGCCCTGGAATTCACCTTGGACACATTTTTCATACATCAATAGGATGTTTTAGTCCCCTTACAAAGAATTAGTGTTCCCAGAATGATGCATAACACTGTTGTAATCCACATGATAAATGTGGGCACTAAACAAGTTCACACTATATCATTTAAAACTATCCGAAATTATTTATCTGTCCTTTACATTTATGGTATTCTGAAATATTCAGATTAATATGGCAACTAGGTTTTTTCATAGATGTCCAGTTTAAGTTATGTAGAATACTATGACCACGACTGAAATTCATAATAATTTACACAGAAATCATTATTAAATATAAACATTATAGGATTACTGTCTGTTTCAACCTGATCAGCATGCATTCGATAATTATTTTCATAATATATTATATTTATTTATTCACATCATTTCCAACTCAAACTTTGCAATAAAACCTAGAAAGATGACAGTAAGTACAGTGATTCAACCAAGTTATTACAGACAATATTCACACTTTGTTGTATAGGATCTTTCTGTAGACACATAATGAACAGATGTTACAGATGAAAACAAAAGAAAGAGTTGTGATATCTTAATGGATCATTAAATTTTTATATGATTATCCATCTACTCACTCGATTCGTCTCATTTAACTAGTAGGTTCATTATCCAAAAAGAACGTCAAACAGTTTTATTTCTTCTGGTGTCAATTTGACAGGAATCTCAACCTTTTGTGTACTACATAGCTTTAGTGTTAGAGCTAAACGAATAAACAATTGGTGTTCAAAGTATTGTCAAAAAAGTTTACAAAGTGTAATACCTTTATTTCGAATATCCTTGAGCACCATTGAGCTCTTGATAATCTTTAGGATATGTAGGCTATATTTAACTTGGTTATATTAGAATTAGTTACAATTAGTCGGCTTTCACGCGATATCTGATAGAAAGTGATAGAATCTTTTAGTCGTTATGCATTGAGACGCAAAATTTATCTTTCAGATGTGGCGATCATATGGTGATTTTACTGGAAATTAGTCCTACTACATGATTAATAATTCATAAATACTCATTGATCATGATAATAATCCCTAGGTTATTCATGATTTTTGACTGAAATTTACCGCTAACAGTACTCAAGATCACTGAAAGTTACCGTAACCTTTAAATCTCAAACATTAATGTGCTATTATTATTATTATTATTATTATTATTATTATTATTATTATTATTATTATATCTTTGACAATACTATCGATAAATACACCACATCCACCATCGTCTCGCGGAACGGTGAATAACCCACTGATTTCTTAAATCTTTGATAATAAGTAGGTATCAGTGTCAAGGTTTGACTTGATAGTTTCAAATAAATTGAGCATTGGGTAGAAAGTTAATAATCAATATATCTTTTGCTATATCCCAATGAGTAGAAAATCGTATTTCTGGTGGTTTGTGAGGTAATGTAAGCCACTTATGCAGAGTAAATAAATAACCGAATTAAATGAATATGAATTTAAACAGTACAAGGAAATATAACAACATGATACATGACAAGTGGTCACATGTACTTTTTCATTTCCATTCATGACATGCATATTACTACTAGTCAAATATAAGATTATAGCGTGCAATAATTTAGTAGAGTCATTGAATATTCAACAAAGTAAATCCATGAAAAGAAGACTGATTGACATATTTATTGTTTGTTGATTGTTTTTGAATCAGTGGGAAATGAAAGAAGACCGAAACTACTGACTCGAAAGAACAGGAAAACAAAAGTAAATTAATTATCGTTTGAATATTCACAAGCAAATTTACTAGAGAATTTTTATTCGTTTACTGACTCATCTAGTCACTTGATAATATCAACATTTATATTCATAAAATTTTTCCAGTGGATGTGTTTCACATCGAAATATTTCACAACATATCGTGTATCTCTGGCAATTCTTTTGTTGGTATGAATTATAAATGATGCTGCCAGGGCAACGACAATAAGTTTTAATTACTCGAAATATGGGTGGATCACGTGTGCCACCAATTGGGAATTTCTGCTACTTACCATAGTTTATATATCACTAGCTATCCACTGCATGATTTACAACATACAATGAAAGTATTTTTATTTTACTAGGTGTTAATA